TGCCGGCGGGGAGCGGGGAGCCCGGCGGCCTCCTCAGCTACCAGGTGCGGGGGAGCTGCGGAGGGCGGTGGGCGCGGCGGGGGGCACAGGGCCCGGGGCGGGGCAGGGGCTCAGCTGCCCGGGTCGCTGCAGCCCCTTGCAGGCACCCGAGGGCCGCGGTGCTGCAGCCGCCCTCCCCGCCGGCACCCGGSGTGGGGACCCGCACACGCACCGGCCCCACCGCCACGGGCCCCCCTGGGCCGGCGCGGCTGCTCCCAGCACCGGGGCGCAGCCGGCAACCCGCCCTCCCTTTCCCATTCCGCATCTCCTCCTCACCATGCCGGGAAGGACACGGATCTGCAGGGCTGGCATCCTGCGGCAGCCCCGCGTTGGCTGGCCCCAAACTGGGGATTGCCAGGAAAGGGGGCAGCGATGCAGGCTGGACCCCCCACGCCAGCACAGCGTGCGAATGGAGGCAGCGGGGAGGAGAAATCCCTATTTTTTTTACCGGAACGCGCTAGGGAAACACAAGGTGTCGGCTGTCCTCGGTGCTCCCAGGAGGCGGCTGAGGCCCCGGCGCTCCAGGGTCTTTGCAGACCGGAGCCCTGGGATGCYGGGAGATGGACCCGTCCTGATGGCAGCGTGATGCCCTTGGCGTCAGCGGAGGTCGTGGTGGCCCCATGTGCTCGGGGTGCTCGATGCCAGTTGTTGGTGTGGGAAGGGATGGATGCACTCCGAGCTGGAGGGGCAGCAAGGGAGAGTGCGGATGTGACCCACAGAGCGCGCGGATGTGACCCGTTCTTCCAGGTCTGGGGACTCCGGAGGTGTCTCCTACTGCAGGAGCCTCCATTTTAAGCCTGCCAGCAGCAGGAAAGCACCGGAGCTCGAAACCCTGCTCAGCACAGACCAGAAAGCCTCAGCATGGGGTCGATAGCGTTGTCTTGATAGATGTCAAAGATGGAGCTGGACAAGGCCAGGGGGATTCAGGGCTCCTCGGGGCTGCCCTGTGCTGGGACCCTTCTGCTTGCTTCCCATCAGAGTGTGGGAAAAATAATTCCAGTTAAATCTGGGCACAGGCCCCAGCGGTTCCTTTCCTTAGGCAGCCGCCTGTGGAGCAGCTCGCGGTGATTTCAGGATACCCTGGGGCAGGCTGGGATGCTCCAAGTGGGAAGGTGCCGGCCTGGGCCATGGCCATGTGCCCTCTGTGGCCCAAAGCCCCTCATCCCTCCTGTCTCTGTAACATGAAATAATAACCAGGCAGCGGGGATCCGAGCGGAGCTGCCGCTGGGATTTTATCCATTAGCTCTCGGTGTCGCCTTCCCCGGCCGGCTCTGCTTACAGCCGGTGTCGCCTTTCCAGCCAAGCTGGGGCTGCTCAGCTCTGCGCTGCAGGGGAGGATGTTCCTTGGATTTGCAGCCTGGGAGGGATGGATTGGCCGAGAGTGCAAATA